CTATGTTTCATTCCATCCAGTGGGAGGGAGTTTCTGGGATTTGGGTTTCAGTTCAACCACCACAGGGCCTTCTCTTGGCCTCTAAACTGAGGCACCTGGAATCTCCCCACACCCCACCCCACAGGTGATTCTCTGAGACTAAGTTCAGGAGGAGAAAAAAGTGGAAAAGGAATGGCTACAACCCAATTCCTCTGTAACTAAAAGCAAAACGTATAGGGAACTCAAATGGAAAAAATAGAGATTCGACCTAGGAGTTTTTTCCAGAGTGGAATGTGTGCTGTTAAACAGTTCCTGTTGCTATCATTTGTGAGCTGGCTGTGGGTTTTAACAACCATTTTGCTGACTTTTTGGCAGCAAGTGCGAGTTTTCCTCTTCGATTAGGCCTTTGGGAGCGCTCTTAAAATCCTATGGAATCATCTGACTCCCCGCAGGAAAACACTGATTGGTATTAATTTTCAGCCTTTCCCTTTTGATGTTGAAGTGGATTGAAACACTTCCTGCTTTTCTCATATGTTCTTTTTCTTTTCACCTTTCCCCCTTCCCAAGTGATTATAGTATTTCCAAATACAAGGGTCTAGTGGTGGAAAATTAAGGGATAGGGTTCTGTTACAAGCTCAAATGTCCAAGGATCTCAATTGGGAGGCACGAATGTGCTTTTACTGAAAATCTGGCTGTGTTGATTAGTAGTGGCTGCAGAATTGAAATACCCTTACTAGATTAAAACTAGAAGAAAGTTTCCTTCTATTTATGCAATTGTAGCTAAGTAATAAAAGAGCAAAGACCTTTTAAACTGAACCCAAAGTTCATTAAAGCTGCTTAATTATGGTCTGGAGCATTTGCATATATATATGTCTATTTCTGTTATGACAAATTCAAATTAGAAAAAAATACAGTCAACAAACAATTATTTTTTATGTTCCTCTTGTTAACACTTTAGAGAATTTTATAAAATTTCAGCTTACTGTGTTTATGATAGCCAAAACTGTGTTTTATTTCTAATGTTAAAGGTTGACTTGGCCTAATTCCATTATGGCTTTATTTTTGAGGTTTAGAATGACTTCCATTAGTCTTTTTTCTGTCTGTCATTATCAACATGGAACTTCTGTCTGAAACAAAAATCACTGAGTCTGAAACTCTTAGTATTATACTTGCTTGTTTGCAGAGTATAGGTCTTCTGGAGTTAAAACGAAACCGTAAGAACAATTGGTGTGAATGGCATTGCGTTCTTTTTGGATACTCGGTAACTTGAGAGCTGGAATGAAAAGGACCATAAATCCGTGGGGGAAACGTGGGATTGACTGTCCCTTCTTTGTCGACAGCATGTGCCTTTTTATCTATTTTAGCACTTGCAGGTAAGGGAGCTCCACTCTTCTGTGAGTGTCGCCTCATGTGACATCTCTTCAAAAATACAGCTACAAATCCTGGAAAATGGGATTTAATGGTGTCAGTGTTTCTCTTTTGTGTTAGAAAAGTTTCATCAACTTCTCCAAATCTGATTTAACATAGCTCATGAGGTTTTTGAACAATTACCCAACTGACATTGACCTCTGAGTTGCAGATAGGGCTCAGTTAAAAAAAAAAAAAGCCAAAGGTCAGCTTTCCTATAGTAGGATGACTTCATTAACGTGACTGAATGATCAAAAAAATTAGAATAAGTAGGGAAGCACTTGTGAGAAAACAAACCAAAATAACTGAGAACTTACTACCTGAAATTATCTGATGGGAAACCTGGCATATTTAGAAAGATAACTACATTACTCTGGTGTGAAGAACTCAGACCAAATGGAATAAAGTGAAAGACAAGATCAACAGCAGCCTGGATAATTTAGTTAACTGATGACTTTGCAGTGAGGTAATGTCTAGATAAGAATGCTTATATCTCAAGATAAAAGATAACATAAGACACATACATGAGACAATGTATTATGTGTGACAAAAATATTAAGTAATTTTGTTCTGAAAAATAGTAAAAAAGCAATGTGATGGGAAGAAAATAATCTTAGATTGAGAGATAAAGTTTAATACTTGGAGCATCTTGCTTTATTTATTCATTGTTTCCTTTCACTTTGGAAAACATAGCTTTGGACTGCAGAGGGAGACTGGGTGTTTACAGATTAATAATTTGTTTAACAGTTTCTGTATTTTGCTCCTCCTTTGTTTAGCAAATAAATTATGGTCATAACCACTAATCCAAAACACTCCACCCCTAGTTCTCAAATAAATAAAAATTAGTAAAATATGGACTGGCTCGAAAGGGGAATATCACATCAATCCTTAAAATTCCCTTGTCTGTTCTGAATCCTCCTTGTGCCTAGTTTAGTGCCTTACAAGCACTGAATAAATATTTCATTGATTGAATAAATGACCTAAATGTGCAAGGAGACCCAAAGTCAGAAAAAGAAAGGAGCTGGAAAAAGAAACCTAGGAGGCCTGCGCTGTAGTAGCTGTTCCACAAATTCAACGCAATTTTTAAAAGGACTTACTTAACAACTTGTTATGGGTCAGGAACTGTGATAAACATCAAGGCAATGAGGGTCTGTTTCTGAAGGAGATGGCATAGCTGCAGTTTGGTAATGCGACCCCAGATACAATGTAACAGTATTGTTACAGATTACAGCTAGCAGAGAAGGACATTTAGCAAAGCTATAAATGATCATTTTGTGTCCACTCTAATTTCCAAGGCTATTCACTAAGGTTCTGCCTTTATATGCCATTAGTAACTTTGGATGCCTTCAAGTTTGCCTTTCAGATAGTCAGGCAGATCTCCCTAAAACTTTCACATGCTAACAGCTGTAATTAAGGTAGAAGGCCTTATTTAAATAGCAATTAGCCTTCAGGACTTGAAGTGTCAACAGAACGCTAATTCATTTAGATAGTTAATTGGTCTTCCGTTTAGAGATCTTAGTGTAGCCTTCCTCTTTAGCTATGATGTATTTCTGCACTGAGTACAGTGTATTCACTCAGTGGGATGAAATTTTGCAAACTCTTGTTTGACTCCTAGAATGTTAGCTTTGAACTCTCCAGTAATGACTAATGTAAATTCATTTGAAAACATTGTGAAAACATCAAGTAAATTTCTATGGCAAAATCATTAGCACTTGACCTGTCTTCATAGTTACGGGGACCATATGGCCCAGTTTATTCATGTTATTTCAATCTGTTGATAGATCCCCTTCCATATTCAGGAATACCTTGGTTTGGAGATAAATTATGTGGTTGCTCTAATCATAATAAAAAATGACACAACATGTGCCGAAACTAAAGATGTGGGTAAGATTGGTTACTTTTTCCAGGGGATCCAGTGACAAATGTCAAAGTCCTTCTTACTACGTACTGCCATAAAGATGGTTAACCATTGATGTTAAGTTTAAAAGGTCATTTTTTTAAAAAGACAACTCCTCTAACAGGAATTTTGTAATTGCTTGTGCTAAATTTCTCAGCCTAGCCTAAAAAAAAAAAAAGTCATTGTATTTGATAACTGCATACATCTGTTGTGGTGGTTCCTGGATATAGATAGTCCTATAGACAAGTTGCATGGAAGGTGGGTGTAAGCTTCTTTTACTTTTAACAAGTTTCTTCTTGTTGTTTACTCTAGCTCATCACACTATCCCGCAGATGCTTAGCACCGGCTGCTAGTGATCTTTCCAACATGTGCGTCTAAACAGGCCTGTTATCAACAGTAGGTATCCGGTTAACTCAACAAATATTTAATGAGGGCAATGACTGGCACATAGGAGGCATTCACAGATGTTTGTTGAATGAATACATACCAATCACGACCTTGGAGTTTACTAGGTGCTATCAGCTAGGAAGGTGGTAAGAAGAGGGAGAGGAGAGAAAGTTCTCTACCAGGTAGGGTCTGCCCTCAAGGGGGGTTAACAGTATCCAAGGGGAAGATGTAAATAAATAACTGTAATTGAACATAGGAATCATTAATAAGTGCCAAAAAAAACATTTAACTCTGAGTGGGAGGTAAAACTCCCTGGGGCTAGAGAGCGGATGCAGGAGAGGCTTGAAGGATGCGAAGTAGATATTTGAATTTAGGATTTCCCCCCAGATCTAGGGTAACTCTGTTCCCAGGTTGAGTCCCATGAAATGTGGAAAGGCCCCCCTCCTGTCAGTCACTGAAACTGTACACGCTGTTTTTGTTTTTTGTTTTTTTTTTTGGCGGGGGCTATGTGGCTAACAACTTCCGAATGAGCAGCAGCTCACTTTGCAAATACGAATACTATAATACAGCAATATATATTGCATAACGCTAAAAGCTACTACTTTATTATGATTCATTTAGGTGGCGAAGTTGAGACAGTGCCATAGCATTCAAAGAGAAGTGAGTTAAGTTGCCACTGTCATCCAAAATATAAAGTAAAATAATTATACCTTAAGAAATTTAAAATAAGGAAGGCTTAATTGCAGAGCAATTGCGATACGAACCCATTAAAAATGAACAGAACGTGCAGTTGTTTTTTTTTGTGTTTGTGTGGTTTTTTTTTTTATAAGTGTGTGGTTGCTCACACCGAGACAGACTGTTCTGTTACCAATAGGACCCGGGCCTCACCCGAGCCAGCGGGCTCGCAGGGATGCACACACCATCTACAACCCGCCCCTTAAAAAGGAAAGTACAGCCGGCCCGGGACGCTCCGGGTGTGGGCGCTAAGGGCTTAGAGAGGGAAAGTAACCCGAGTCGCCCGTTTTCGGAGGACCCACCCCCTCCCACAAGTTTCGCTGGTCCTCGGCCCCGCCCCCTCTTTTATTCCTTGAGCCGCGACGGGAGCTGAAACTTTGTAACCCGAGCGCGCTGGCTCTGCCCTGCTCCCTGCCCCGGAGAGGCAGAGAGGGAGGCGCAGGAGGTGGGACCTGCGGGCGGGAACGCTTGGGGACGCCGGCGCACGCGGAGCGGGGACCCCGGGAGAGCACGCTGCGAAGAGGAGGAGCTGGAGCGGGAGCGGAGCGTGCGGCGGGAGAACCGGAGGAAGTCGTCCCGGCCGTAAGAGCAGAGGAGCGGCCGGGAGCAGCCGGGCCTGGGGGGTCCCGGGCTGAGGCCAAGGGGTCTAGGGTCGCAGCCCCGAGTCCCCGCCGCTGCGATCGTCCGGGAGCAGCAGCTGTGCCGCGCTGCAGGCGGCGGCGGGAGGAGGAGGAGGAGCCGCGCGGCGGTCCGGGGTGCCGGGAGAGGGCCGCGCTGGATGACCCGCTGACTGCGGCCATGCAGCTTTGACGGGGCGCTCCGGCTTGCGGGGACAGCCACGGGGCGCGCCCTCCCGGGAAGGACAGCGGGCGCAGGCATCAGGACTTCACATCCGGCTCTAGCCCAGCTGGGAGCGAAGCCGTTTACCATGGAACCCGTGACCAAGTGGAGCCCCAAACAAGTAGTGGACTGGACTAGAGGTGAGTGGGCCCGGGGGCCCGGTGTCTTCAGCCCCGGGGACGGAGCAGGGGGTGCTCAGCCTCTCCTGCAGGCAAAGAAGCGTTGAGAGCGCAGCGCGGTGACAACGCTCACTTCTTCGGAGTGGTCTGTGCGCCCCTAGCTCGTGTGCCTGCTTCCGGAGGTGTGGGTTGTGGCAAGCCAGGGGGAGCCCTATCTTTAAACCCGGGAGTAGGGTTGGCCTCCCCGTGGAGGGTGAGGGTTGGGGGTGTCGGTCTCGGGACTGGGGAGGGGGGCCACCCTCCCTACCCTGCCTGGGTGCGGTGCCCGGAGACCCGGCTGCCGGTCCTGGAGAGCGGAGGCACAAGGCGCCTTTGTGTGGGTGACTCCCCTCGGACCTCATAAATGCCGCCTGCCCAGAGTAGTCGCAGGCATGACGGGGCGGTTGGACAGGTAAAGGGAGACTCCGGCGGCTCGCCCAGTCTCTCTGTTTTTGTTGGAGGAGGCGAGAGGGCAGCGTAAGAGCCAAACATTGAGGCTCTCCCGCCGGCGAGAAACCCTGAGCCAGACTCCCCGGGACTCGGTGACTTTTGCTCCGGGAAGGCGCCAGTACCCCCGGTGGCGCTGCATTTTTAGGCCACATTGAAGCCCTGGGAGGGAGAAATCTAACTGTTTGGAACCAACTACCCTGAGTTATGCTGTATTTGGGATGAGGAAAAGCAGTGGGATGGGGTGGAATGGGTGACCTGGCAGGGGTAAGAGCTGGTACCCTGAGCTGTCGCGCGTACTTCTTACTACCAAGATTTTGAGTGAAAGGGCACAGAGGTTCCTCAAGCCTCTTTGTAAGTTTCCAAGTCCACCAAGAGCAACCAATATTTCCATAGGTCCCTTACCCCATCCCTCTCAGCTCAGCATCTCTGTTTCAAGTTACTGCTGTTTTTTTTTTTCTTTCTTCTGTCTGCTCTTCCAGGTGAGGAATGCTGTCCTTTCTCAATAATAATAACTAAAATTGTGTAGCGCTTTACAGTTTGCTAAGCGCTCTCTCTCTGTTATTGCCCTTGGTGACCACAGTAAGCCTGTGAGGTAGGTAACACTGGTAAGCTGAGGTCATCTTTCAAACTGTCTCACCATTGGCTGGGGCGTAATGAACACCACTCATCTCTGCATCTCGTGTCTGTTGCCTGCCGTGCACATAGCCCACTTGGAATGGGGTGTACGGGCCGAGTCCGTGGGGCATGTCTGACCATTTCCTGCTCCTCTGGGAAGGGAAAGGGATACATATGCTCCCGAGAAGAGGTTTGTCCAGGGACCAACATTTCCTGGGCTCTGACTTAAAATGAAGATGAAAAAACGAATACTTGTACATTGGGTTAAAAAGTAAATAGCATTGTCAGTGCTCAGTACAAAACATTAACTTAAGCTATAAACACACAGACAAACCCAGAAATGGGGTTTGTTCTCCCATTCAAGATACTACCAGGTCCCCATCTAGGGACTTGCCCAGACTGAGTTGGTGGATCTATTGAACCTGTATGTCCATCATGGTGGCAACCTAAGAAACTGATGATTTCAGCAATCCTTGGCCTTGAGAGTTGCTCTGCCTAGTATGGTAGCCAGTGTCCAAAAGTGGCTGGTCAGAATTGTGATATTCTGTAAGTATAAAAGCACACATGTGACGTGCAGATAAACTATCCCATTGGTAAATTTTTATACTTACTACATGTTGAAATGATAGTATTTTGGACCTACTGGGTTAAATAAAGTTTATTACTAAAATTAACTTGACTTATTTTCACCTTCTTAAATGTGGCTCCTAAAGAAATAAAAAATTACGTGTGTGTAGCGCACGTCTGTGGCTTGCACTCCTGTTGCACAGTATTGCTCCCCAGTAAAGAAAGGGTTACAACTTATCACTTTGGCTTGCCTGAACCTCTGCCAGCCTACTTGATAATGTACAACCAGAAAAATGGTAACAGGCACACAGGAAGATTATGGAGTGAGATCTTCACACCCTCAAGATTTGTGTGTGTGTTTTTCTTTTTGGCCCTCTTGGGATTGGGAGAGAAATGTAAATTCATATCCTGTTATGTTTGCTTAGCCTTTAAAAGGAAGAGCAGATTAAAATGTTTTTGGTATCCAGTTGCCTTGACGTTGTGACTTGGTCGAGATTGCTTTCATCAGGGAAAGTTTCCTACTGACCTCACAGAGCGATCGCTGGTGGTGCGGTATCTGGGTGCTCGGAGCACTGGATACTGATTAGGTTACATACCTGTGGTTAGCACGCGGCAACTTTATACTGAAGGCTCGTGCCCTTTTGGACCCTTAAGTACAGCCTCATAGAATGACCTGGATACTTTCTGTGTTAGAATCTAGAAAAGATAAAAGGGGCAAGTATGTGGCTAACTCTTAGGTGACAAGAGGCTACATGCTTCCAAGTTGCATGATACATTACTTGAATAGTTCTCATAGTCGTGATGTGAAAGTATTGACTTTTACATTAACTACTGACGTATGCAAACTTGTTTGCTTATAGGACTATTTTTAGCTGTCTTGGCTAACCTCTCTACCCAGCCCCCATTTTATAAATACATCCTACTGATAAGCAGCTCTTCATGTAGACTTTGCCACTCTTGGTATCGCCTGAGTATGGCGATGGTGATTATGAGTGCTATAGAAAGCCTTCAATGTAGAGCTATCTGAACCTGACCACACCCTACACCTTGCTCTCACATTGATATGAGGTAGATGCATGCATTAGGAAAAAGGACAATGTGTACAGAATGAATTAATTCCTCTGACTTTTATTAATATGGTTTAGTTGTATTAGTCTTCAGCTATAGTGTCACCAATTTATCATAACATGAGTAGATCCTCACTCACTATTAGCAATGTGTCAGGCACAGGTCTAAGCGTTGTTCAAGTATCAGCTCATTTAATATGCACAACCACCTTTTGAGCTAGGAACTATTTCCATTTGACAGTTGAAGCACAGCAAGGTTAAGTTCCTTGACCAATGTCACACAGCTGGGAAGTGACAGAGCAGCATTTGACCCCAGGCTGTTTGGCTTTACTCCATTCCATCTTGCCAGGGTCACACCTCGTAGGCTCAGAATCTTCACCACATTGATGAACTGACCTTCAGAATTCCCGTGATAGCAGTTATTAATACTACGTGTTAGTGGAGGAGAGTCGTCCACTATATTTGGTACATGTCAGGAAAGTTATTTGTAAATCAAATTAATTCATAGTTCATGGTGCCTTGCCTTTCAGATAACTCAGCAAAGGCTTTTGCAAAGCAGGGAGTCTTTTATAATAGGTATCGGGTAAGAGCAGGGTCAGCTGCACAGGACAGGCAGTGCAGTTTACAGTGGATTAACCAAATGGGAATGTTGCTTTTTCTTGTAAAAGTCGTCTAGAGATTGGGAATTCAGGACTATGTGGGGACTCTGGTGCTGTCAGGGCCCCAAGCGCCTTCTGTCCCCTGTTCAGCCATTCTCGGCATGTGGTGTTCATCTTCATGCTAAATGCCTCCAGGCAAGATGGCCGCTCCACCTCCAAGATCACTTCCTGTTCCAGGCAGGAGAAAGGAGACCCAGAGAAGACAGAAGACTGGGGGCAGCCAAGTTGCCTCTTTAAAGAGTCCTCCTAGAAACTCTATCAAGTGACTTGACTTACATCTTAGTTGCCAGAACTGTCACATGGTCACCTCACCCTGCAAGGGAGGCTGGTCACTGTAATTTTCTAAAGTTGGGTCCATTGTGGCCCTGAAAAACATTGGAGTTTGTTTAGTGAGGAAGAAGGGGAGAATAGATACCGGTAGGCAGCCAGTAATGCCTGACACACAGTAATTTACTGATATTCATAGATTACTTCTCAAAGTTGGACACACGTCACAATTTCCCACTTACATCTAGCTTGTGGGCCAGCCCCGTTCTGTTTTAGAAATCGTGTTCTATTTTCATTCTCAGGTCAAACCTTAACTAGTATGAGGTCTTCAAGCTTGATTATAATATCAGAAGTTGCATTGTAAAATTGTGTTTCTGCTTTCAGGCCACTGGGGAGTGTGGTCAGCAGGGAGGAATGGCTACTGGTTTGTCTCAACAGCCCCGTCCATCCTGCCTTTGGTCTGGAACGGGCAGGCTCTCAGTAACTGTGTTGTTGAGTGAACATGTCTATAAAACTGGCTTTAGTCCCAGGACAGACGTCTCTTGGAACAGGTTCTAGTGCTGCTGACCATTTGTGGGTACCATTTCCCCATCACCAACCAAGAGTAAAGGTGTGAGCCCGTGCGATTCAGGGCGTTTGCCCATTCTTCGTAATCCAGCCATGGGCATTGCTGTGATGTCTGTTACTATGTGGCACGTCAGCAGCTGCGGTATTTGGTCATGGAGGGGCTAGAATTTCCCTGTTAACTATAGAGATCTGATAGGCTGCAGGTCAGTTGCAGTGTATCACCTCGCTCCTAGGCCCTTCCTGCCGCCATCCATATGGAGGCCAGTTCTTTCTGTCATCCTGATTCCGGCTAGGTTATACTTTTTCCTTCGCCTCTGTCATCACTGAAAAAGGAAGGTCTTTTTCTTTTTCAGCTTTAGTTAGAGCCACCATTTGATTTCCCTCTGTTCCCCATTCTATTCTATCTCCTGGACTCCTTCCATCGAATTTTCTTAATTATAAAAATTGAAAAACATTCACTGAAGCATTTATTGTGTGTCAGACATTGGGCTAAGTGCTTTATTTAGATTTCTTCATTGAATCCTCAGAAAACCCAATGAGGTGTATGAACCATTATGAGCCCATATTAAAAACAAACTAAAGGGGAGAGAGAGAGAGAGA